AATCCTCGATCATCATTCCGTGGAAGAAATTCTCAAGTGGGAAGGACCATGATAGCCTTTACATCGGTTTGTTTCATAACTTCAACTTCTTCGTGTCGATGTAGTTAGCCCTTTGTTTGTCATGAATGTTTGCTTAAACTTTTGTAATTTTTTGACAGACACTGAGATGCTGAAAGACGTACCAAGCATCACTAGGCAAGAGCTTGAAGTAGCCTGCGAAGATTTCAGTAATATCATTGGCTCCTCACCGGACAGTCTAGTATACAAGGGCACCATGAAAGGTGGGCCTGAGATTGCTGTTATCTCAATATGCATTAAAGAAGAAAACTGGACAGACTATCTTGAGCTCTATTTTCAACGAGAGGTATGATCGTTCTACAACCGAAGTTCTAAACTCCTTTCCCTGATGTATTCATTCGAACCATCGTGCGTTCGATTGAAACCTGAAGCTGCTAATCAATGAAGTGATGGTTTTTGTTCATCCCCTTCAGGTGGCAGATCTAGCAAGACTAAATCATGAGAATGTTGGGAAGTTGCTAGGCTATTGTAAAGAAAGCAGTCCATTTACAAGGATGTTGGTTTTTCAATACGCATCGAATGGAACATTATACGAGCACCTTCATTGTAAGTAGAGTTTCCTTTTTTAACCTCCTTTACCAAATTCATTATTTTGGAGAGTAATACTTGTGGTGCCTGCAGATGGAGAAGGTTGTTTCTCCTGGACACGAAGAATGAATATTATCTTAGGCATTGCTCGTGGTCTTAAGTATCTTCATAGTGAACTCCAACCACCGTTTACTATATCAGAGTTGAATTCTGGTTCTGTATATCTTACCGATGATTTCTCACCGAAGGTGAAACAGCTGAAAAGTTTTTCCTTTTAAATCCGATCTTACTAACGATCTCTTATAATCCTTGGATCTTAATGAAAGATTTATTGGCTTCAACTGCAGCTGGTTGACTTTGAAAGCTGGAAGACCATTCTTTCAAGGTCAGAAAAAAACTCAGGCTCCATTGGAAACCAAGTCACTCAATGTATTCTTCCAAATTCTCTAGAACCACGTCATCTCGACATAGAAAGTAACATCTACGCCTTTGGTGTTATTTTACTGGAAGTAGTCAGTGGGAGACCTCCATACTGTAAGGACAAAGAATGCTTGGTAGACTGGGTGAGAAACTCGAGTATCTTTGAGCTTTTCGACAGGAACTTTGTTGTTACAATAATGTTAAATCACTGATCCTAGAGGGGAAAAAAAGCTAACAAATTTTATTTTTCTCATCAGGCCAAGGAATACCTTGAATCGCCAGACGAGATGTTTCGCTTGGTAGAACCAGAAGTGAAGCATTTTGCAGATGAAGATCTGAGGACGATATGCGAGGTGGTAAGTCTTTGCATTCATCCACAACCCACGAAGCTGATTTGTATGCGGGACATATGCAGCATGCTGGAGACCAGAATTGACACCTCGGTCTCTGTTGAGTTGAAGGCGTCTTCTCTTGCATGGGCTGAACTTGCACTTTCTTCATAGATCAGGTTCGAGCTAACACATAGATGATCAGATATATAAATATATATATATATATACACAAATGTATTACCTGTTCTTTTTCCAGTTTGAGTTTCTTTCTTTGTTCTTGTAAATACTATGAGCCCCGGATCGAATGAAGTTCGTGCATAAATTACTACAAATGAATAGGTTCTCTTTACTAAAATCCAGTATTTTTGCCTTTATTTTACCCCTCTCCACAACCTCTAGAATTTGGACTCTCATTTATGGTTTAAGAGTTCTTGATACATGATGCTATGAGAAAAGAAAGGGATAATTTATGACGTACAAGTCTATTAATGAGACTGTGATACGTTTACACAGAACGAAATGAGTTCTTATCCTTCTATCAAAAGTAACACAAACTACTTACACTGAAGCTCATCTTCACACCTTTTCTTATTAATATGGCACTTATTCCATTGCAGTAATTAGACAGACAGCCAAAACTTCACATCTTTGAAGTCAATTTTTCTGAGCGCTGCTTTTGAAGAGTTGCTTTGAGCTTAAAGAGAAGCTTATGAACCTCATCAAAATGTGGGTTTGCAGCATTTCTAGTATTCTCAACCCACTCCCTCACTTTCTGGTATGGACCCAGAATTCGACTGCGTTCCTTCTCATCCAAAAGCTGCATATTCAACAAGTTAACCACCACCATTAGATCCGGTGAAATCCATGAAATGTCTAGAACACAATAAGTTCAGTCCTAACGTGGAATCAACTTTTTGTAGATTTAGAAAATGAGAAGGAATAGAACTCTTGAAGCAAGACGACTGCCTCGGCAGTCTAATGCCACCCTTCTGGTTTGTTTTATGGGCTCCTTCATAGAACAATCATGATGCAAAGAGAATGTAATTGGTTGTTCTTGAGTGTATTCAAGTGTTCTTAAGAAGCTATTAGAAGTAATTGCTCAGTGTGTATACGTACCTCTAGTTGCATGATTTCACAAACCAAGCTAAGATCAGCTATGGATGGTTTAAGGCTGCCTACCAAAAACTTCCCGTTCCCCTTCAGCCAAAACGACTCGATTTTCGAAAGTGACTTGGATAAAAGCATCTCAGCTTCAGCAGCTGCTTGAGAATTCTGAGGACGGCCAAACAAAGGTGCTAGAACAGTATAGAATACAAAAGGAGCTGAAAAAGATACAAAACAAGGGAAAATAAGTCATCATAACAATTGTGAATATGAAAGATAACTTTATCTACTTGATACAAACACTATGATATGATGTTGGAAAGCATTTAGAATTATCAGAAAGAAAAAACATATGTTGAGTAACATACCTGCACCAATCCGTAAATTAGAATGATGCCAGTCCAATACAGAGTTTATTTTAGCCCTCCTGAAAAGATCAGCTGGATACCTAGTAACATGAATAGAAATTATGTTACAATATCTGAGCCTATTAAAATTGCTTAAGCTTTCAATCATGGGTGCTAAATATTTATACATGAACGGTTAAATGAATTCATAAACGATAATCCACAGCTACAACAATGCAAAGAACAATATGTTTATTTGAATCAACTGGAATCAGCTAGAACTCATCAATTCTGTAGAGAACTAAATTGTTAGGTTCAACTAAGTATTGGACTACTTCTTGAAAAAACAAAAACCAAGACACTAAATCATGTGCACTCGAAGTATAAGATCAGAACTCAAAGCAAGAAAGAGCCGTTGAACTAAACACCAACAGAAGTCAAATTTACCCGTCCTTCCTTATTCAGAATACTAAAATTAGGAAATGAATCTCCGAAATTGATTTATATTAATCGAGAGAACCATGAAACAACAGTGAGAAATGAGGAACCACTTACCAGTGATCTGCCACACCAGGAAACGCACAAGAAAGGTAGATAAGAATAGCATGACTGCAAAAAGAAAACGAAGCAATGCACAATATTAAAAATAACGTAGTAACCATATCAAAATTGGGAAGCAGGCTTTGTGGCTGACCATACAAAAGTGCATATAACCCAAGTAGGAAGAATTGACGACTAGTCATATCCCTATCGTACATTTTGGGGCATTTTAGCCCTGACAAGTGAAGACATGATTTAGGTGACCAGTCACACACCCGCGTATTGACACAACATGAAATAGTAAAGGCCTATCTAAGATGAAAGCATGTAAAAAGGGTTTGGAACAGACATGCGGCCATGGACAACACATCCTAGACAAGAATGAATGGGACATCCAACATGCAGCCATAGACAATACACCTTGGACAAGCATGACTCTGACACCTAGCCGCCTCAATTGAATTAGGATAGTGCAATTGCCGGTACAGTTTTCAAAAACCTCAACATGACGACAAATATCAAAGTAGATATTAAACACAAATGATCCACAAGTACAAGCATAAATCTTGAAAATAATTTAGGTACGCGAGTAAGATTCTCCAACTCTAGTACGCCTTCAGGAGCTACAAAGACCAATTAAATAGCAAAAAGATAAGGGAGTTGAGTGCAATATTATACTTTCTTTTCTGCAAGAACAAGAAAAATAAGATTTTGGGTTCAGTCTATCATTCCTTAAGCTTGCCCTAAAAAGAAGCCATATAGTTACAAACTGGAGAAATTCCTTGCTCTTGCGTGATCACAATATCTACAAAAAATGTTCAAAACAAATCTTTCATTACCTCTCGAACAGCTTAAATCTCCCATCAACAATGGCAGGAACCTTTGCCATTGGGTTGACCTCTACAAGCAACATCCAAAAGTCCATTAGAGATGAAAAATATAGAACAGATGAACAATTATGGATTCATTTATTAACCAATCAGCAACCATATGTCATCACTCTTTACCATAAAATTATCCGATACAATACGAAGTATCAGTTCCAGAGATTTGGGTATTATGTTCATCGAATTCACAAGGACGTTAAAAATTAATACATCCAGAAGTGTAAAGAGCATCAACAGATTGATACCACACACTCACGTGGCCGCTAACCCACCTTTGAATTCGGGAGACAGCTGTTGGAGTTTGGACAAGTCTACCCGCACCTCCTCAAATGCAATCCCGTTAACCCTAAACACCATTAAACGAAGAAGAAAAAGAAGAAGTTTCAAACACCCAAGGAGCTGATGAAGCAAAATTCATGGAAAGGGAAGAGATTTACTTGCAGAAGATGAGGACGGCGCGAGATGGCTGTGACATTCGATCCACATAAACTTTAAGCGCCATTTTCGATTCCTCTCGAAAGCAAGCGTTCGTTGGAGATTGAAATGCCGAAATGTGGATGATTTATGAATACGCTCAAGAATTTAAGATTAAAACTCTACGGCGCGCTTCGCAATTGGGATAGGATTGGATAATCGATGTTAGATCAGATATTTTGAGAACGATTTCTTGCGACACAAAAAGTGATTTTAAAAACTCCATTATTTTCTAACACATCCTAAATATTATTTTATTTCAATTTGAAAAAAATGTTTTGTTATGGTTCCCAACTATTATCGGATCTCACAATCCATCTGTATTTGTTGACACTTATTTCATTCCCTATCAATGTGAAACCTCTCGATCCATCTTCGATGCGGGGTCCAACGTCTTTGCCGGCATACCGCATTGTATCCACCCCTTTGGAACTCAGCTTCCTCGTTGGTACATCGCTCGGTGTGTGACTTTGATACCATTTGTAACAGCCCAAGCTCACTCCTACCAATATTGTTTCTTTGGATTTTTCCCTTTTGGTTTACCCTCAATATTTTTAAAACACTTTGTCTGTTATGGAAAGATTCCCACTTCCTTATATAGAATGTTTCGTTCTCCTCTCCAACCGATATGAGATCTCATAAATTTTAGACTTGCAGATACGTACACAATGAATTCATATTACAATGCAACAAACTTCAATATCATCCGACCAGGATATCCAATTAGAATCATGGCTGTTTTTCATCCTATTCTTCCATACACTTCTTCTGTAGTTACTGCCCCCCATAGGGAAATGTGGACCAACCAGATGCAGGAAACCTTGAGTTCAAAGAAAAATGGAGATCTTGCTTTTCGGCATAACTATTTTAGAGCGGCAACGACTGCTATACACAGGTTGTCTGTGATGTTTTTGTTTAATAACCAAACTCGGTAACTTAGTCCCCTTAAAAACTGTACATGCGAGTCTCCCTGCACCCAACTTCAAGTGAACGTCTATCTGTGCTCGTTCGGCCTAATAGGTGGTAGGATCACACCCTTAAAAATTATATGTGCATGTCTCCTCACACCCGGCTTCAAGTGAACATCTATCTGCCTCGTCAGGCCTAATAGGTGGTGGTATCACACCCCTAAAAACTGTACATGCGAGTTTCCTCACACCTAACTACAAGTGAGCGTATGTCTATGCTTGTCAAGCCGGATAGGTGGTGGTATCACACCCTTAAAAACTGTACATGCAGGTCTCCTCACACCCTACTTTAAGTGAACATCTGTACATGCAGGTCTCCTCACACCCTACTTTAAGTGAACATCTGTTTGCACTCATCGGACCTAATAGGTGGTGGTATCACACCCTTGAAAAACAACCACCGCTCTGAGTGTCGTATCATCAAATGTAAGAAGAACAATCTTGAATAATATCATGAATCCATAACAAACGTGTTAATTTAGCAGGAAGGAATCATTGCACAGAAATAGAAAAATGCATACATATATCATTGAGTTGGTCCAATGCAGACCAGTTTCGTGTTCCTTTTAGTAAATATTTCCCACCTTTTTTATACACAGATCACTAACTATAAACGTTAAGAATCACAGCAATAAATTATGTACATTTACCCACAGTCACCAGAGCATATCATCAACTGCTGTCATGGTCGATGGAGATTCATTCTCTTCCTCCAACTCCATCTCCAACTCCGCCTCTCCCGAACCAAACTCAGAGGACTCGATATCGGCGAGGTTCTTCAGATCAACGACCGTCAGCTCGTCAAGGTATCTCACCACCAAGTCTGCAGCCCCAAGTTCATATACAGGATGCTTACTTGCAACAGCCACACACTTCATCCGAGCATCATGAGCAGCCTCAACAGTTTGGTTTGAATTCCCAAACACAATGCACCTTTCAGGAATGAAGTTCAAGAGCTGTGCTGCATAAACGAACATTTCTGGATCAGGCTTTCCCCTATGAACGTCCTCTGCAGCTATAATCACATTGAAATCGCCATCGATACCAATCGTTCCCATGGCTGATTCCAGAGCTTCTCTAGGACGAGTCGAAACAAGTGCCATGGGGATCTTGTAATGCAACAGGACATTCACAAACTCCTTTGATCCAGCTCGTAGTCTGTAAATTCCACCCTGCAATGCTTGATAGATTTCTTCCTTCCTAGCAGCCATTCTTCTCAATTGAGAAGGATCTCTTGACCAGCAAAGAACTTCAGAAATGGCTTGTTCATTCTTCATCCCTTCTATTCTTCTAAGGATAAAAGCTGGGGGAGGTGACTTTCCTTCTTCCTCAGAAAGAGCTAACCAGGCCTGCTTCTCAATATCAGGATTGTCCTCAATGAGCACACCCTCCCACTCAAAAATGGCACCCAACCAACCACAGCCCATTCTTTCTTGTCGAAGCAATGGATTCTGCAATGAAGGGTTATCTGCTTTGTTTTCTGGAGGCCATAAGCCTGGCTTTCTATCAAAGCCAACATCAATATCATAGTTCCAATCCTTTGGTATTCTGTCCTCTTTGAATGAATATGCTTCTTTTGTCGCCTCCAATGATGAAGCCTTCACTGACAAAGGAGACGAAATCAGCCGCTTTCCAATGAATTGGGACGGCGGAGACCTGCTGTTCTTCCTCTTGTTGGACGGGTTCTTAACAAAAGCTCCTCCACATAGCAGCTGATGGCCAAAAAGAGAAGCTGCTGCAATCGACTGAACCATCCTAACCAGTTGAGTGGTTTAACACAACTAGAATCCGACCAAATTTATACTCAAAAACAAAACCAACTCACCTGAATCATTCAAGTTTCAGACAGAAAGAAAAACACAGAACACCGAGCTGTCGTTTTTGACAAAAATAGGAAAAGAACAACACAACACAAAATTCAAACCACTGCCACAAACATTCCCAAAAAAACAGATCAGAATCCACAAAACCCACTATTCCAAAACGGCAAAAGGGAACAGGGGCATGAAAAACATCTAAAAAGGGTCGATGGGTATCGCCCAAATCTCGAACAAAACGCAGCCCTTAACACAAATCAACCAAAAATCACTTCCAAATAGAGAAAAAGAAGGAAGCAATTACCAAGAAGAATCCGGAATTGGATTCGATGATGATAAGGAAAGAGGGGTTTCTGATTAGGGGTTATATTGCGGAACACGAAAGGAAAGAATCTGTTTCTGTCTCACACAGGAAGGGATTTAAGAAGAGCAAAGAGTTTTGTGGTTAATATTCAGAATAGAGAGTAATGAATGAAAGAAAGAAGAACACGGTGGCCATCTTCGTAAGGAGACTGGTCGCGCACGCCGACCAGTACGACCGGCTGGAAGGCCGCGTGTCGGTCACCGTCTCGTTTCTTCTCCATTTGCCCTACTTTTTCCTCTTTTATTACGTTTCTGCCACTGCCTTTCCGATAAGATTAAAGAACCTTAATCATTATTATCCCATCTAGATTGTCGCCCCTAATCTCAATTTAAAGATATAATATTATTTTCAAACTACAATTTCCGAATAAATAGGAAAAAATTAAATTCGTTTTTCAAAATTACTATATTACCCATTTAGTCAACGCCATTTTGACTTAAAACCTTTATCTAAATTAAATTAATTTTTAAATCTTAAAAAATGTCTAATAATTTCAAAATTAATTGATTAATGAAATTTTTAGTCCTCAATTATTGATCAAATAGATATGTGAATTAAAAAATAAACAAAATTCATCCACTTAATTTATAATTTTATAAATTTAGTTTAGATATTGAATTAAAAATTAAAATTTTGAATTGGTTTTTTCTTAAAAAAAATATGGGGAAAATAATGAATTTTAAAAAGATTATATATATATTTTTTTATAAATATAATATTTAATATTTAAGAATAAAGTGATCAAAATTGAATTTGTGTATCAAATCAAAATAAAACTCAAAATGGATAATTTAAATTTAATTTTTTTAAAAATATATATATATATATTGATTATTTAAAGTTTTATAGTACAATTATTTAAGATGCAATGTCCCATAAAGCTGGACAAAATAAAATATCTATAATATGAAAAGTATTATTTATTGGTATTTAAAATTCAAGTTTAATAATATTTAAACGATAATGTCAACTTAAATTATTTTCTTTTTAATAATTTGGAAACAAACATAAATATTTTAAAAAGTTTTAAAAATGATAATTAAAAATTAAACATGAATCATAAGATCCAAGAAAAAAGGAAAAAAAAAAAAAAAAAGAATTAAACACGTGAGATAAATGCAACCTATAAGGATAGGGTTATGGTGGGGGGGCCCACATGTTGAGTTGGATTACTATTTGCCAGCTCCTCAACAAAGAGGTAGCGTGAAAGTTTCAAACTCGTTGATTGATATTTAAAATTGGGATTTAGCTGAATTAATAAAAATAACATTTAGTTTTTTTTTTTTTTTTTAATAATATTTTAAAAAATAATAAATAAATAAAATTATATTTTTTTAATTTACAAAAATACTCTTCAATTATTTATTATTATTATTTATTTTTTTTTTTTTGTGTTAATGATATTTTACCAAATTTATGGGTAATTTTAGAACGTGATACCAACGATTTGTATCTATATCTTAATCATAAGAGTATTTTTAATTTTTAAAAAAAGTTTAAGGGTATTTTTTAGTGAGATCGACTCTTGTTGTGAACTTTTTTCAACATATGGCTCGTGAGAAAGACACGTGGAAAGCCCTTTTCTCGTCGGGTTTATTAGACATTATATTAAAAACTAATTTAACCATTATATTTCTAATTTAATTTTACATTTTTTTTTCTTTAAAAACAGGGTTGAAATCGCAATAAAATTTTAGGATTTAAGAAATAAAAAAATTAATAATTTTTTTTAAAAAATAATTTTAATAGTAATTAAAAAAAGGAAATAAGAAATAAAATCTAAAAGCAAAGCGATTAGACAGGATTTGTTCTTCGCGCCGTTCGCTTCGTCTGGGTTTCCCGTTTCCGCCTTTGTCTCCGATTGTCACTTTTTCAGGCTTTCTTCTTCGCGCCGTTCGCTTCGTCCTTCTCTCTCTCTCACAAGAGTTTGTTCTTCGTCAAGGAATTATGTTGTAAGCTCATAAGTAGATTGAGCTGAATTTCTGTTCTTGACATGGCGAAGAGGAAGGGAAATACGAAGAAAGGAGCGTCTAACCCCACATCCGGTCCGCAAGATTCGATCACTATTAGACAGGAAATCACTGGGAAATTCAAACCCAAAGTCTCTAACAATGTCAAAACTTATTTGAATCATTTGGAAAACCTAGCGACTTGGGCTAGTGGGAAAGCCTCTATACCTTCATTGGCTGCTTTCTTTGGGCAGCGCCTCGCTACTGCAGCGGAGTCCTTGGCGGTCGCTCCCGACGCTTCTTTGTTTACCTGCCAGAGGTCCGTATGTTTTCTGCCGTTTACGTTCGTTTAGCCTTTGTTGTTTTCGTAGTGTTTATACATGGGTAAGTCCATGAAGATTGACTGTATTTGGGATGTGGAGTTTGTGTTTAGATTTTCTGATTAATTCTAAATGGCACTAATCTGATGTAAACGACATTTGAATATCGAGATTTGACGCTCTTTATTCGGGAAATTTTGTTTAACTGCAAATTATGATGTGGAAGGGATAGGGTAAGGTTCTTAGAATTATGGCTATATTGTGAATGACTTTAGGGGTTCTGTTGTGCAATGTACTAGCAGTTTGTGGACGCTTTGGCTCTTCTGGCTTGTTATCACATACTTAGGTTTTCATATTTTGTCCTGGAGTTTGTATTGTAGAAAGGTTGGGGGTGTAAGCTTGTGAATTGTACTATCTTATTTGGGCATATGCCCTTTGGTGACAATCAGATAACCAAAGAGGGGCTTAAGTTTTGGGAACCCATGAAGGAAAAAGTCTTAATCAAGCTTCATAAATGGAGGTAATCATCCAAAGAGGGATGCTAGACTTTGTGTGTCGTAGTCCTAGTAAAATTGCCTACCTTTTTTATGTGCATCCTGTGATGCCGAGGAAAATGAGGAACTTTCTTTGGGATGGTTCTTTTGAGAGAAAGCGGAGCAATCTGGTGAATTGGAAGGCAGTATCCTTACCTTGTTAAATGAAAGATTCAGAATTGGAAACTTGAGACGAGGCAATGAAGCCCTTATCGAAAACTGGGTTTTGTATTGCTAATGGGAACTTGGCTTAATCAAGCACAAAATAGTGCATAGAGTTTGGAGAGGATGCAAGAAGGAGTGAGCCATGCACACACTGGAATATAACGACTAAGAGAAATCGTTTGAATGAAGAATTGAAGAGTTCCATGCTATTTTGAGACTGCTGGAAAACAGGGTTATTGGTGCTGGAGTGGATGAAATAAGCTGGAATTTTTGTAGCTCTGGTGATCTCAGTCAAATCTCTTAGCTTTGTCAGACAGAGTTCATGAGAGGTATAGAAATAGAGCTTTCAGAGGTAGCGTAAAAAAGAACATGCCACAAAAAGATCAAAGCGTTAGAGTGAATAGCCTGCCTAAGTGGTCTTTTTTTTTTTTTTTTTAGGACGTTACAATAAAAACGTCCTATGATGATCTTGAATCTGCATATGCTTATTATCCTAGGAAGAGTATAAAGGAACCCACTTTTCTTCCATTTCTCATTTGGCGATTGAATTGTTATAAAATTTTTGGATACTTCGGGGTTTTTCATTGATCTTTGAAAGCTTACATATCCCTTCTACTAATGGGGTCCGTCTCTGAATGGAAAAACCAGGAATGGCCAATGCAATCAAATCTGTTCTTTGGAGCCTGTGGATTGAGAAGAAAAAAGGAAGCATTTAACATCAAGGCTAAAGACTGGCTTGAGGTGTATGAGTTTGTTTAGTCTCATTGTGTGAAATCCCACATCATGGGAAACAAAACATTTCTTATAAGAGTGTGGAAACTTCTCTCTAGCAGTCTCGTTTTAAAAACCTTGAGGGAAGCCCAAAAGGGAAAGACCAAAGAGGGCAATATTTGCCTAGCGGTGGACTTGTGCTGTTACAAATAGTATCAGAGCTAGATACTGGGAAGTGTGCCAGTGAGGACGCTGGCCCCTGAGGGGGGTGGATTGTTAGATCCCATATTGGTTGGAGAGGGGAACGAAACATTCCTTATAAGGGTGTGGAAACCTCTCCCTAGTAGACACGTTTTAAAAACCTTGAGGGAAGCCCGAAAGAGAAAGACCAAAGAGGACAATATTTGCTAGCGGTGGGCTTGGGCTGTTACAAATGATATCAGAGTTAAACACCAAGTCATGTGCCAGCGAGGACGCTGACTTCCAAAGGGGTAGATTGTGAGATCTCACATTGGTTGGGGAGGGGAACAAATATTCCTTATAAGGGTGTGGAAACCTCTACCTAGCATACGTGTTTTAAAAACCTTGAGGGGAAGCTTGAAAGGGAAAGCCCAAAGAGGACAATATTTACTAGCGGTGGGCTTGGGCTGTTACACATTCTTATATTTCTTTAGATAGTGGGTTCAACAACTCTATTCCCCTTGTAGCTGATAATAATTGAGAGGTGGGTTTTTGTAGTAACTTCAACTAACACCTTAGCTATGATGACAGAATTCTCTTCTTTCTCCTGTGACCTTCCATGGAACTCATAATCAAAAAATGTTTGCACGTATCTCATTAGACAAGCCTGAGCATTAAAATATGCTCATTGACGCTTATTGTTAAATTATTACCATTACTTGGGAAAAAGAAACCTACTGATGTTTTAATTCAATGAATGGAGCGGGCAATCGACTCGAACAATATAGCAATTTCATGTTAAGGACTATTATCATGTCACATTTGAATGTTGTCTTGGCATCTTACTTGATTCTTCTTTGGCTACAAAGCTAGCCAATCTTACCTGCTCCATTATATTGCATTCAGGTGTGAAACAATACTTCAACCTGGCTCTAACTGCTCTATACGAATAGAGAAGAATAACGCCAAGAGACGTCGGAGACAGAAGAAATGTAGTAATTCGAGACAGAACAATGTGGCGTATTATTGCCACCACTGCTCGTGTAGGAACATAAAGAGAGGAACTCCCAAAGGCCATATGAAAGTGCTTTACGACGCAGCGTTTGAAAGAAGGGTGAAGCCTGTGGATGTCAAGGATGGTAAAGAATGTGAGACATCAGCAGTGGAGAGGCCAACTGAGATTCTTACCATTGATGCTCCTAAAATTCCTGATGCTTCTGCAATTCCTCCAACTGGGGACATCACTGCTCTTGATAACCCTGCAATTCAGCTTCAAACCAAGGGCATTCTTAATATTAATTCTCCAGCAACTCCATCCACCCTGAGCGTAACGACTTTATTGAAATCGCAGAAACGGGAAATGACGACATTATCTGAGAAACATATAGGACATGATATTAGAACAGACGAGGAGAAGAAAACTGGGGCTGTTCCTACTGTTGATGCACCCGCCACCCCTTCCACCTCGACTGGAGTGACTCTGTTGGATTCGAAGAAGAGAAAGAGGAACAAGCCGTCGTCTAAGAATCAAACCGAACCCAGAAGTTGCTCTGCTCCGACAGCAGATGGGGATAGAAGTGAAGGCACATCCAAAAGGAATCGTAAAAGAAAATCATGGACAAGTTTGAAGGAAGTTGCTCGGACGAATGAACAGAGTGGTAAACAAAAAAACATGGCTGAATTGGCAATTCCATTCTCCTTATATTAAGGCACTGATTTAATGAACGTTTGTGTGAGGAATTGATTTTATTTTATACCTTCTCTGTCAGCATTTGTTTGGTTTTCAAATGGGATGATTTGAATTTGCCATTGGAGACTCATTGAGGTAGATCTTCAAATTAGGGTTTTAGCTCGATCATAAAAAGTACCCGTTTAAAAATTACTCCTATTCTTTTTGAAATTGTAATATTATATTTGACGATTCATAAACGTTTCAACTTATAATAGAAATTCATTTTTTTTGTTTACGGATTAGTTATTGAGATTTCAAGCGTGTTTTAAGATAGTTATTGAGATATGAAATGTGTTTTGAGATGAATTTGAGAGCCATTAAAAGTTATAATTTTTTTCAATCTAATTTCATCCTTTAATATTACTTAGTTTTTCAAACTTTATGGATTAGAACTAAGGAGACAAATGGAATACTTTATGATCGATTTTCATTATATTTCACTTATTTCCTAAACGAGGCGTAGGTCGGAAAACATCGAGAATGGAGCAATCCCCATCGGATTCTTCGTCGAGCATCGAAGCCGGAAGTCAGATTCCGGCGACATCCCCAAATTCGGCCATTCCCGAGACGCCCACTTGTTCTGTCCTTGAGGACTGCACCAGACCCAGATCTTCGTTGAGCCATACCGAGATTTTCAAAGCCATTGATGTCGTCGAGAAGAACTCTCTCGCCATTGCCGAGAGCTTTACCTCTCTCTTTGCTTCCCTGCGTTCGACTCTCTCCGAGGTCTCGTAGTTTTTGCATCCTTCTTCTTTTACGCCCCATTTTCATTTTGCTTTAATATGTTGAAGATCGGATGAATGCTATTTTGAGTTATGAGTTTGAGTACTTCACCAGATTTGATTATTACTGGACAAACCTGATTTTATCCCCTTTAATAATGACTGGAATTTACCACTCTAGCATGAATTTCTGGAGCAATGATTCTGGGTTTCCTCTTGTCAAGCAGTTTATCTGAGTGGAAATAGGATAATCTTGTAGGTCACTAGCAACTCTATTGATCATATGCATTGCTTCAACGATGCTGCAGGCCGACTTCAAGAATCTGGTAAGTCAAAATAGTAATGATTTTGATTCACAGGAATGGCCGAGTATGATGGCAGTTTAGATGTGTCATTGTCTACTACTGTTACTACTAAACTGATCACATTCATCTGGGTACAATCAAAACTCTAGGTATCAGCCTAAGTCCACCGCTAGCCCATATTGTCCTCTTTGAATTTTCCCTCTCGAGCTTCTCCTCAAGGTTTTTAAAATGCGTCTGGAGAGGTTTCCTCGCCCTTATAAAGGGTATTTCGTTCTCCTCTCTAACCGATGTGGGATCTTACAATCCACCCCTTTGGGGGTCCAGCATCCTCGCTGGCACTCATTCCCTTCTCCAATTGATATGGAACCCCCCAAACCCACCCATTTTTTCCTGCGTCCTTGTTGGCAACACAGCCTCGTGTCCACGTCCTTCGGGGCTTAGCCTTCTCGCTGGCACATCGTCTGATGTCTGGTTTTGATACCATTTGTAACAACTCAAGTCCACCCCTAGTAGATATTGTCTTCTTTGGACTTTTCCTTTCAGGTTTCTCCTCATGGTTTTTAAAACTTATCTACGAAGGAGAGGTTTTCACAACCTTATAAAGGGTGTTTCGTTCTCCTCCTCAACCGATGTGGGATCTCACACCTCATGTCCATTATCTTGTTTAAGACGTGGCAATTGAACTTAAGAAGTGATTGCCTTGAGAATCTGTGTTACGTGATCGGCTTTTGTGCCAGTTTTTGTACTAAATTCGGAAAGAGATTGGTTGCAATCAGTTCTCTCCTATACTACTAACAAAGACCTTGTTTTTCATCTGATGGTCTTTGACATGAGTTCTCTTCTATTCTTTCAACCCTGTAGTGCTTGATGCGGCAACAAAGGGTAATCGATACATAAATTCTTCCTTGAGGTATGCTTCAATATCTTCTGGTATCTCCTTTGCTCTATAGGTTTCAATTTCTTTGCTGTCAGTATTTTCTATGAATAATAACTCAAATACTTTACTTCATTTGTCAAAATGTGATTGCTCTCTGGATGTTGTAGCTGCATAAAATGATAAATGGAAATTCTTGAACCAGGTGCTAGTAAGAGATTAGATTGAAACAGGCACATAAAAAAAAGTTTCTTATTGTTAAAAGATTCTATCCCAAGGGTCCAAAATTATAGTTTAATCTAAAAGAGGATGTATGTAACGGTTCAAGCTCACCGCTAGCAGATGTTGTCTCTTTGGACTTTCCCTTAAGGTTTTTAAAACGCGTTTGCTAGGTAGAGGTTTTCACAGCCTTATAAAAAATGTTTCGTTCCCCTCTCCAACCGATGTGGGATCTCACAATCTACTCCCTTTGGGACCTAGCGTCCTCGCTGACACTCATTCCCTTCTCCAATCGATGTGGGATCCCCAATCCACCTCACTTCGGGACCCAACGTCCTTGTTAGCACACCGCCTCGTGTTCACTCCCTTTGGGGTTCAGCCTCCTCACTAGCTCATTGTCTGGTGTCTGGCTCTAATACCATTAGCAATGGCCCAAACCCACCGCTAGTAGATATTGTCCTCTTTCGAGTTTCCCCTCAAAGTTTTTAAAACGCGTTTGCTAGGGAGAGGTTTAAACACTCTTATAAAGAATGCTTTGTTGAACCTGTTATGCATCTTTACCCAATTGTAGTAGACTCTTACTTTTCTATGTATCATTAATTATAAGATTCTTCTTCAACGGTTACTTCCAGAAATTATATAGTTCTTTTAATTATGATATGTTGATAATTAGAAATACAACTTTTCTGTTGTCTCAATTGTGTCTCAATTGTATCAGAAATGTTGCTCGAACATATGATGCCAGGTGTCATGGTCATGCTTGTCAAAGGCGTGTTGCCCATGGGCGCCCATGACAAGTCAAACCCTTTATGTCTTTCCATATTCTAGTGTTTTACTTTTATATTTCTAGGAAGTATGATGTTTCAGAAAAATCATGTCTAGTGCTAGACATGAAATGCCTCAAAATGTACTATAGGGGGATATGACTAGTTGTCAACTTCTCCCTACCAATAGTTATATATTGTGAGCCGTTGTTGTTACTCTTTTGCTTGCATATATAACACCTCTTTCAAAACCTCTCTTTCGAAAATCTCTCTCTGCCCTTATTTTCTAAAACCTTCTTCTTAAACCGAAGCCAGAGGCTCGAGCATACGTCGCTTGGCCGTAGGCGACGTAAGAACGAATTGGCTTAGCTCACTTGTTGTTGGGAAGTGAGTGCCGCATAATCCCAAGTCCGCTGCCAATAAAAGTGCGATTGTGACACGAGGCACCTAAATAATTGTGGATATAACTGTTACTTGGTAGTCTTCTGCAAAAATTATTAAGAAATGAAAGAACAGAGTTTTGAGAAATATTTATTAATGTAATGATAAAAACTACAATTTAGGCGCTTTGAGAAACTATTTGATGTATCTCTGTGATAATGAGGAGTAAGTCTTCTTGATGAGTCCTCTGTTAGTTTGATTGTGTTCATAGTTTTTTTAGTGTGAAATTATATAGTTCTTCAATAGATGTTGGATGGCTGTCCCAGACTACAAATCTGCATAGCTATCACATAGAACTCTCTTTAATGTGATCCGAAGGGAACATAAGATTTCGAAAATTTGTTTTTTCGTTTCCACGGGTTTGACGTAATTCGGTACTATTTTTGTATGTGCACCATGTCTACTTGCAAAGTTTAGTATATTGGCAGAGTTGTGTTTGTACTATCAATGATTGATAATAAGTTAGTAGAAATCAAATCAATGCGTCTTTTTACTTGTATTAATTATGACGCTGACTATGTTGTTTCACAAGTGAAGTTAGTGAATGTGGATCCGATCGGTTGGAGAGGAGAACGAAGCATTCCTTATAAGGGTGTGGAAACCTCTCCCTAACAGACGCGTTTTAAAAATCTTGAGGGGAAACCCGAAAGGGAAAGGCCAAAGAGGACAGTATCTATTAGTGGTGGGCTTGGATTGTTACAAATAGTATTAGAGTCCCGAAGAGGAGTGGACCCGAGGGGGTGTGCCAACAAGGACACTGGGTCTCGAAGAGAGGTGGATTAGGGGGTCCCACATCGATTAGAGAAGGGAACGAGTGCCAGCAAGGACGTTGAGTCCCGAAGGAGGTGGATTGTGAGATCCCACATCGGTTGGAGAGGAGAACGAAACATTCTTTATAAGGGTATGGAAACTTCTCTCTAGCAGACGCGTTTCTGGGAAAAACTCAAAAAGGTCAGTATTTGCTAGCGGTAGCTTGAACAGTCAACTAATGGGATTAGTCTAGTTCATCTCTCTAATTCAAAATCATTAAGATCTCTTTTTAATTTCAAGTCCATTCGCCCTTAATTTCCATTATACACATCTTTATACTGTCTGATGATGACTAGTAAATCACAATTTCACATCTTAAAGATATTCATATGGCCGTATTTTGTTGTGTTTTCAGATTGAATCAGGAAATGAAAGGCATGGACAATCTAGCTGCTCAGCTGTATCCTTTCTCCATCCTTTTTATTTCATGCCTAGTAGACCATTTTAATGCTTTAGCTCTTTAGAATTGGGAACTTGAGCATACTAATACTTCTTTATCTGATATCTAAGTCCTCTGCATTACCCATTTCCTTAATTCTTGGTTAGAAAGATTTTGAGGAAGAATGTTGATGAACTAGACTTGGCTGTGAACAAGCTCCTAAATTTTCCATGAGGCTCGGCTTGGTCGTAGTTCTTGCAAGCTCAAGGATTATCGTTTCACTAGAGAGTGAGGACACGGTTCATGTCGAAAAAGTCGCTAGACAGCTAGAATACAGTACATGAAGGAAAAAATATATATTCATTGCATAGCTTCCTTCACATTTTACTGTAGGAAGCATCTCATTGCATGGTTGATGTACTTATGAGGATGAATAAGCTTACTGGATTCAATAATCAGTGTCTCTTTTCTTTACAGGAGGTTATTCAACTTTTGAAAATTGCCCATCTTGCATATTTTTTACTGTGGTGTTTTATTTGAGGTCAAATGTGATATAACATATGGGTCGAGGAGGAGAATGAAATGTCTTTTATAAGGGTGTGAAAACCTTTCTCTAGCAAATGTTTTTTAAAGTTTGAGAGGGAAAGCCCAAAGAAGACAATATCTGCTAGCGATAAGCTTGTGCCATTACATCATGAACTTATAAATTTGTGTCTATGTGGTCTCTGAATAGTAAAATAATGTGTAATAAATAATTAACATTTTAATTTCTTTCCCATAAGTCTTAAATTTTTTAATTTTATGTCTTTTACCAATTTTAAAATTTATGGGTTTACTAGACACAAAATTAAATATATCGAATTAAATTTAAATAAAAAAAATTTATTCAGAAAAAGTATTAGATATATTTATAGTTCAAATTCATATATAAAATGAAAACTTGGAGATTTACAAAAAGTTTTTTAAAGTTAAAAAATCAAGAAAAAAAAAATCTAAATGATTTTAATCAAAGTGTCAACTGTCAAGTCTAGAACTCTTCCAACCATGTGGGTGAAAGGATAGTTCCAAGAACATGGGAAAGGAGGGAACCAAAGAACAATAAATGTCTTAATAAAAAACCAAGCTTGTTTTTGCAGTACTAGGAGCAACCTACTGTTTACCATGTTTTCTTTACTACAATTAATAAGTTAGGTCAAAGGGGCATTAAAATCAGTATCAATGTTTCGATGGAATGATAAGAAAATTTAAATTTCGATAGAAAATCTATAATTATTGACCAAATTCTTAAATTTCAACTAAAAAACCGTTTCAGACTGAAATTTGAGAACCTCCAACTACTGATAGAGAAATTCTCATATGAAAAATGATAGATTCTCGATCCTAGCATTATGTTAACCAAACCATCAAATAAAATCAATCTAAAATATCAAATAAAATCAACTCATTTGACTCTCCACTCTTAGCCACTAAAGTTTTGAAACAACTAACCCAGTTGTAGTTCTTAATAAATTTTCCAAATCACAGTTTTATTCAGAGAAAGATCGCTAATGTTGAACCACCCAGAGAAAATAGCCATCTACCACAAGAAGATGGCAAAATTGTAATTTCATAGTCTAAAAAAACCTTGATTTCTTTTCAAAAGAGGGTTTATTCTAAAAGAAACAAAACTTTTAGAGTGCAGTTTCTAAGAGTACTCAAACCAGAGTCTGGAGCAACACTAAGACGAGGGCCTTGCCGGATTCACCAATTTGTATTTGTATCGATCTCAACTATGTGGATCTTTGGATGGACCGGACCATCTGGGTTCTCAGCCCGTTCTACAGCCAAAGAAGTCACAGAAGGAATTGATGGGAATGGCCTCACTGCTATTGTTACAGGTTTCGTTTCATCCCTTTCCCCTTTTTCTCCTTCTTTCCCTCTGTTTTAATCCCTTCTTTGATCTGGGTTCTGTTATTTAGGAAATCGATGGTGATTTAGTCTATTTATAGCAACCTTGGTACCTTGTCTTTTGATTGGATTAAGGTTGTTTTGTTATTGACTCACTACTTGATTGCTATTTGTTCTGCAAATCTTTCTTGGGTATAATATGAATTCCGTGTTTTCTGAGCCCGTTCTGTAGCTGTTCTTGGACCGCTCAGTCTCAATCAAGTGTATATTTTGTATCCTTTATATGTAGAATGCAGAAATCTATGGAGTAATGGGGTTTTCTTTGAAGATTTATGTAAAGATTGAGCTTTATTTGTTAGGTTTCTATACTTAGCATAATGTTTGTATGCTTAGAAACTGAAGCAGAAATGGAACTAGAATGTCCATTTGCAAGAATGTGCAAGTATATCAATCAAAGCATTACCGAGTTTGGATGGACTTCTAAAAAAGTTTCTAGACATGGAGTTTGAAGCATGTTTGCTTTCAAAAGTTTCATTAATACTTGTTAGCTGTTAAGAAATATCCATGGAAAATTTTTATTTCCCTCGTTTTTTACCGTATCTTTTTCAATATCCTCTTACTCTCCTTCTTTCATTCTTTGATATCGAAAGCTGCCCCATCATTCAAGGTTATAGACTATAACAAGAAGAAGAAGAAAAAAAATTGAATCACCAAGGGACCTTAGGACATAAATGTTTAACATGGTTATACGTTAGTAGTTGAGTGAGAGTTGATACGTTTACGACATAATTTTGAGGACAACTAGTGGGAGGAAAAAAGAAAGAAAACGTGTGCAATACCAAATTTGTAGAGATGAAGATTTTGTTGAACTTTTCTTTGTAGTTCAAATTGGTCTATTTGTTGTCGTCGATTCAGAAGATGATGTTTCTTTGTCAGCCTTTTTTGTATTTGACAATTCATCGTTTTTGTTGTGTTTTGAGGGGAGATTTTGATATTGGGACTTAGTGGGGTTTTGTATAAGAAATTGTTAGGTTATAGATTGAAGCAAAGGAGAGAGGAAACGAAGAAGGGAGGTGATGGGTAAACGGTTTCCATCCATATACTAATCGTAATTGCATTTTGAGCTTTTTTCTTTTTTGGAAAGGTTAAGGGTAATCAAACTCTTTTCGAGCTGATTTGGGAAAGAAACTATAACGGCTCAAGCCCACCCGCTAACAGATATTGCTTCCCTTCAAGGCTTTAAAACTCGTCTGCTAGGGAAAGGTTTCCACACTTTTATAAAGGGTGTTTCATTCTCCTCCTCAACTAATGTGGGATATCACAATCCACCCCCCTTCAAGGTCCAGCGTCCTTACTGGCACTCGTTCCTTTCTCCAATCGATGTGGGATCCCCACCAAATCCACCCCCCTTCGGGGCCTAGCATCCTTACTGGCACACCTCCTCATGTTACCCCCTTCGGGGAACAGCCTCCTCGCTGGCACATCGCTCGGTGCCTGGCTCTGATACCATTTGTAATTTCCCCTCAAGACTTTAAAACGCGTCTGCTAGGGAAAGGTTTCCACACTCTTATAAAGGGTGATTCGTTTTCCTCCCCAACCAATGTGGGATATCACAGAAACAATTCAATGAATATCTAGATTTAGTTCTCATATGTTTGATTTTTCTATATACTTTTCTCTAATCATTCACTTCAAATGTTTCATTTTGATCTATAGAAGATCTTAGTCTAAAGAACTGTTGAAGTTTTCCAACTTCGAAACATGTAGTTCAATTCCCTTTCCTTCCTCGTGATTTCAGGAGCCTCAAGTGGTCTCGGTGAAGAGACGACACGTGTTCTTGCATTACGAGGAGTCTATGTCATTATGGCTGTAAGAAATGTTGAAGCAGGGAAAAAAGTAAAAGAAGCAGTACTGAAAGAATCCCCCTCTGCCAAAATTGATGTCATGGAGTTAGATCTTAGTTCAATGGAATCTGTAAGGAAATTTGCATCAGATTACATTGCATCAGGCCGTGCACTAAATATTCTCATGTAAGAACTGAATTGAAGCTGATAGACTAAAATTATTTGCCTGGGAAATCTGCTAATGCGCTATGGGCTGGTTTTACATAACTTTTGATAACAATACAACTCTATATCTTCTTTGTTTGAAGGAACAATGCGGGTGTTATGGCGACGCCTTTTATGCTTTCGCATGACGGCATAGAGTTGCAGTTTGCAACAAACCATATAGGTATGTTTCAAATAAAAGATTTGTAATGGGTGCAGTTCTTATTATTATTGTTTTGTAGGACATTTTCTTCTGACAAACCTTCTGCTGGAGACTATGAAAAAAACTGTGGTTGAAAGCAAAAAGGAGGGAAGGATTGTCAATCTGTCGTCGGAGGGGCACCGATTGACATATGGCGAAGGAGTTCGTTTCGATAAAATCAATGACGAATCAGAGTAACGATCTACGTTGCTTATTTGATGATTACTTCCTCAAAAGCTTCCTTGAATGTTATGTAGTGATTCATTGTATGATGTGAAATTTTAGGTACAGAACTATCTTTGCTTATGGACAATCAAAGCTTTCCAACATATTGCATGCCAAAGAGCTTGCCAGGCGGTTGAAGGTGTTTATTGGTTTAGTTATTGAATGTATAACCAGAGCTTTAGAACTTGAACCTTAAATGAGGCAGGATTTTTATATGTACGATAATTGGGTCGAAGGGGGAATAATCAAGTGAACCTTGAAACTTATATCCTTGCTTTCAAAATTCAGAAACTTAGTCTTTGTCTGTATAGATGTTCAACTGGACACTCTAATGGTGGGATCACACATTGAATGGAGAAGGAAACAAAGCATTCCTTATATGGGTGTGGAAACCTCTCCTTAGTAGACGCGTTTTAAAATCTTGAGAGGAAGCCTAAAGAGGACAATATCTACTAGCGGTGGGCTTGGACGGTTGGCTACAAATGGTATCAGAGCCAGACACCGAACAATATACTAGCAAGGACGCTGGATCCCCACAAAATATTTCTTATAAGAATGTAGAAACCTCTCCCTAGTAGGCGCGTTTTAAAACTTTGAGGGAGCTTAGAAGGGAAAGCTCAAAGAGGACAATATCTGCTAGCGGTGGGCTTGGGGTGTTACAAATGGTATCAGAGCCAGGCACTGAACGGTGTGCCAGTGAGGACGTTAGGCCCCAAGGGAGTGTATTGTGAGATCCCACATTGGTTGGAGAGGGGAATGAAACATTGTTTATAAGGGTGTGGAAACCTATCCCTAGTAGACGCGTTTTAAAACTTTGAAGGGAAGCCTGGAAGGAAAAGCCCAAAGAGGACAATATCTGCTAGCGGTGGACTTGGGCTGTTACACTAATGGTTTACGTTACTGATTTCCTTGCAGTTTCCTTTGTTCTTTCTTATTGATTTTCCAAGATATCTTATGAAGCCAAATTGAGTAAGTGACTATCATTTCTCTACTTTTTTTCAATAGGAAGAAGGGGTGGAAATAACAGCCAACGCCCTTCATCCTGGAGCAATTGCTGCTACCAATCTACTACGCTTCCATGGTCTCATTAATGGTAACTTTCTTGCGCATTACATGTTTAAGCCAAATATGCTTTACTAGATACAAGACTTAAGGTCTGCCTTTTTAGTTAAACTAGCACGAGTCAGATGTTTTTTTTCTTTTTACATTAATCAGATACTTGTTTAGACTGTAGAATATAGGGAATTTTAATTTGCATTTTGACCGAGGTGGTAGCTTATGGTTTGTCCGAGTATGTTTCGTTCCAAAGAAGGGTGCTAGCACCTGGACTCTGATATCTACGTATATGGGTAGGAGACTTGAGAATCTCAGACTTGTCTTAACTAGTTTTTGCCTTAACTAGTTGATTGAACAAAGCTCCAACTCCCGGATATTAAGAACAAAAAGTTTTTTGAACAAATATAAACATCTACCAGATTGCTATCTATGCTTCATTACCTGCCCTTGGTTTTCTGTCATCTGTTGGTGTCTGAGTATATGCCTTATTTTCTTTTAAACAGCTGTTGCTACTTCCGTTGCTACATTTGTGCTTAAAAACGTCCAGCAGGTATGTTATTAATTCATTTCCCCAAATTTCGTTCAAGACTGTTTATTTAGAGTTTCTCTCAGGTGGGTTTCCATGTGAATAAATTTTCATTGGATGTAGGGAGCGGCGACTCAGTGCTATGTGGCATTGAATCCCCAAGTGAAAGGGGTAAGTGGAGAGTATTTTGTGGATAGTAATATAGCCAACCCAACCAATCATGCCAAAGATATGGAATTGGCTAAGAAACTGTGGGATTTTAGTATGGATCTAACCACCCCTAAATAATTGTATCTCTTCTGAAAAACCTTCCTTACTCTTAGCTTCTCATCTCAGGCTCTTCATGTTAGAGATATATGGACAGTTTGTGGTGGAAGTAGATGAACCATTGTTTGTAGTTTTAAGTGCCACTTGAGAAACAGATACGAGTATAAGTTTGTAATGCTTTGTTTTGAAACAGATACCATAGTCATTCTTGTTGATTTCATATTGCTGGGTTTGAGTGTATTTGGAAAGGTGTTCATAATAAAGGCATATCCAACCAGCTCATGTAAAGCATTGCAAGGAAGTTTTAAATATAGTAATCAACTTTTTTGTGATTTCTACAAACTAATTCAAAATCAATAAAAGAAATAACTTTGAAAAGATCACACACTTTCAATCTACAGAGTAGTAATCTCTATTACAATTCAAATGAGGAGCCGAAACTGTGTGTTAATAGGACCCTGTTGAAGCTACACATTTCTATCAATCATTCTAATGATATCTGGCTTTGTTTTAGGTCATATTGTTGAAAAGAAAATGGCTTCTGGTTTGGCTCTTTCATGATTTGACCTCTTTTTTGCCTTCCAAACCCATCATTCCTCTAGCAGTTTGTCTAACATATCATGCTAACACATGATGGGCAAGAGGAGATTCCAGAGGAAAAGCACCAGTTTGCTCAACTTCACTGGGTCGTTGGGAAGAATGACCAGGCCCTAGTGGTCGTGCCTTCTGCCTCTATATCCTTTGCATTCGTCCACCAGTCTGAATTTACATATGGCTTAAGAGTATCACATCCATTGCCATGATGAAAATTGAATTCCTTCACAAACCCAAGGGTAAGGGAGTGGTGTTCTTGATGCTGATGTGCATGTTCACCGTTCGCTTCTGCATATTCTTCTGTACCATTTGAGGTATGACAGACATCAGGAGAATCTTCTTTAGCCGTTTCAAATGGTTCATGTAATGGGGATGATGTAACTGCCAGTTCATTTGATTCCAGTGGCTTACTTCCTACGCTTCTTAATAAAGCATCTCCATCAGATAACTCAAATGAGAATCTATGATTAGCAGCAGCAGGCTCCTCCTTTCGGCTTCCATCAATGAGAATTTGAGTATTTTGGGATTCATTTGTTGCGTGGTGATCTGACATAGATTCTGAAGTTTGGGGATTCAAAACAAAATCATTACTTGATTTGAATCCTATAGAATCTTGAGAGTTCAATCAGTGCTTCGCCGTTGTTGCCAGCTATAAATGGAACATTTGTCAAGGTCCAATAATGTAGGTGGAACTTCTAATGGGAAATCCAAAAATTGAGAGCCAGAGGAAGCAAAATCACAATCAGTCAATGACGCCCCATGACTGACCGTGGCGATATGAGGTGACTGATCGGGCTGCCAGTATAGAATTGGTAAGATTGGAAGTCATCATTAGGAAATAAACATTGATGATCAGACTCAGCTTTCTGTAGGCTAGGTAGAAGAACCAGAGCAAAAGGAACTTCAGGGGAAGAAGGACTAATCAAGTGGGTAGACTCAGGAGTGAAGGGAGCAGTTGATTCAAAGGTGGAGACACAAGCTGTGTTTCATGAGCAAATGGGCCAATGGAAAAAATGGAGGAAGGCCCATCAGGAGAACACATGTTGCTGTAGGTGAATGAGTAGCAGAAGGTGGCTCAGATTGAAGGAAGGATACAGGGGAAGAGGGAGGGGTGCAGCAAGTGGAAGCTCAATATCGGGTGAGTGCAATGAATCTTCTTCATGAGCCCCAGCTGAAGGAGGACTAGGTTCTGGTACCAACACACAGCGTGCACAACAACTCTTTTCCCTGTTTGAGAGATCCAAAGCACCAATAAATACTCCAACAGCTACCCCATCTTCTTTTCTGAGGGCAAGCAAACAAAGAGAAAACGAGGAAAGTGATAATGACATCAGTACAGAACAGTAGAAAGAGCTTGGACAAATGAGAGCCCTATTTGTTGGAATCTTTATATAAAAAGCAATACTCTTCCTCTATAGAGAATGACATTAATTTAAAGAATGGAGAGATGCCTTTCTGGTTAAAAAGAGCAGCGTTATTACAAGAAGACAAACAACATTGGGCTAGAACAGCGCATTGCTTCCTGACACAGTCGTCCAACCCAATGCACAAATCTTGGTACCTTCCAAACCCTAAGTATCTAATAATCATGCGAGGAGAAAGCCAAAAGCAGAAAAAGCAGAAAATCAGAAACGAAGCCAGCTCGTGATTCCGTGTATTCATGTAACGATTAGCAGTCCCTAAGCAAACAAACAGCAAGGAGCAGGAAAAAAGGGGAAATTAAAACCCTAATTTAGAATTCCGCAATCCACGACAAACATTACAGATTCCATTCCGCCATAATATCATCCCTCGACAAAGAACTACATCCTAATACCTAACGGAGTTAAGAATGAACAGTAATTTCCAAAAACATAGCCAGTATTCTCAATCCATAAATAAACCAACACTAAAATCCAAAACTCCAAATGATTAAATGGACGGTGAACTGATGTGAACATTACAATACCTGGACATCAGTAGCCCGAGGAAAACGATGATCGACGGTGGCGATAAAATCGGCAGCCGCAGCAATGGTTTGGAAAGTGTTGTTACCAGGCCTCAAATCAGCATCATCATCACCATCCATTCGGCGTCTCATCGATATCGTTGCTCAAAACCAGAGAATTGCCGATCGGTTTCATGAAAGAATCATAGCTGAGGATACACGAGAGATGATGAAATTCCAAAACAGAACCAATGAGGAAAATTTGCAGTCAGAAAGCGAAGAGAAAAGACGGAAATGAAAATTTAAAAAATAATAATAAATAAATAAAAGAAAAGATTACTGCGTAATAATAAAGAAAAGGAAATATGATGTGAGAATTATTTCTGTTAATTATTATCCAGCCCCGTTTACAAGATTGATACTCTACCATCGAGCTATAATATGATAGTTCTAATAGAGATAATTTTTGCCTCCACACAAAATTGAACTACGGACCTTCAATTTACAAGACTGACGCTCTACCACTAAGCTACAAGGGCTTGTTGACTTTTTTAGATAGAACCAAAACCCGATGTCGATGGTAGGAGAATTGAAGCTATGAGTCATGTTTTATGGTATGATGAGAATATTGTAAAGTTTTTATATTTTGTATACGAGTCGACTAATATATGAAATGTGTAAGTCAATATATAATATATATCATCTATACTATTTATATATTAAAGGCTTGTAAATACACCAATGATGCTAAAAATAAAAACGTATTATCTTTTGAGTTAACAAAAGACATTTTTGCAAGACTAACGCTCTACCACTATGCTACAAGGGCTTACTACCATTTATAAATGGAACGTGAACTATGATTAAAAAAAGTAGTGATCTACAGTCTGAGTCTCTAAATAATGTTGGGCAAAAATGCCTAAAATATATTACTCTTCTACCACTAAGCTATAAGGGCTTCTGGACGGAAGTCTCTAATTTAATATATAAATATTAATAAATAAAATAAAAAATGCAAAAAAAAAAAAAAAAAAAACATTTTTTTTACTAATAGGTTCTTATTATTTTTTCTAATAAAAATTTATAATCATGATTATGGTTGAAATTTTAAATTTTAAAATTTCAAATATAATTAAATTTATCGTAATCTTTCTATTTAAACTTTCGAAATTCAACAGTAACTCATATCCTCGTGTAACGTTATTTTGTCACGGATCAATATTAATTTTTATATTTTATAAATTTACCATAATCCATTAGACCTATGGAGCTGCTCGAGGGTTAGGTTTGAAGGAGATGATATGAAAAAAAAAAAAAAAAAAAAGGTGATTTGGCAGTCGTACGGAGTTTAAACATTTTGATAATTTATATATACATTGATACATTATATTATATTTTATAATATAGTTGGCATGTGTGTTGTTTTAATTTTATGGGATCGGCTGCCGACTGTCATTCTTAATGCTCTCTGCACCAATATTTAATTAAACCCCATATGTCTTTAAGCTATCCTATTGTCCTATGCTAACCCCCTACCCCACCCTATTGCATACATAGCCCATCTCTCCCCTATATATATATATACCACCATGCATTTTTATTATTTATATATATATAGCTTAATCTAATGGATCACACGTTGTCAAGTACGAATGGACGGTTGGATGAGAGCGATTATAAGAATAAAATAATTAAGAAAGGTTTTAAAAAGTTTAAAGTTACTATATATACCACCAATAAGGTGTTTTCTTTGTTGGTGGCTCAATCATAGAGACTCAAACGTTAAGCTTGTTTTATTTTGAGTAATTTTATGTTGGAGTACGTGAGGATAACATTCACTCTTAAAAGTTTATAAGTAAGTAACGGAACCTATCGTAAATAAATGTTGCAATTCTCTAGTCCTGAATCTGGATTCTGGGTATGAAGCATTACACTATTAATCTTCTTTTCTTTCTTATTGATGCCATGAAATCTGCTCAAAAAGTAATTGATCTGTTCTATTCTTGACTATATAACAAGATTAGCTAGCTCTTATCTAAGTCGACTTCTCACCGTCATTTTCTCGAAAAGATATTAAAACTAGAACCTACAAGATTATGATCTATGACGAGAAGAGAAAGACAGGATCGTCCCCTATTCATTGACCTAGAGCTATTTAACGGTCGCATAAAAGGGGCATTGATAGCATTGCATGGAGATGGAGGAGCCGTAGAGAATTAGAGGGTATAAGGAGTGAAGCATAGAAAAAGTGAAAGAAGGGGAGAGGGTAACATACAAATATCCAAAGGAGTGGGAAAAAGGGGTCAGAAGGGTTTGTTTGGTTTAGGAGTTGCAGTACAATTAATGAGAGAGGTAAGGAGATATGGGTGAAATGGGCTATCATCCCATTTCGTTAGAAGCTTTAAAATAAAGTTGTGTAAGACACCCACCCGCCCAGCCCTACCTACTTTCTGCTACTGTTCACTGCATGCCATTTGTTTTAGCTGCTGCTGTTGCTGCGTGCTGCTGCTTCCTACTGCATGCCCTCCACTCACCTCAACTCATTTAACACTAATCAATGAATATGAGAATGAATGAATGAATGTGTAATGACGTGAGTTCGCGGTTAGCGGATATTTATCTTCTTTGGGCTTTCACTTTCGAGCTTTCTTTCGAAGTTTTTAAAACGTGTTTGTTAGTGAGAGGTTTCCACACCCTTCCTTTATCCAACTAATGTGTGATCTCACAATCAACTTCCTTTTAGGGTCTAGTGTCCTTGCTGACATACTGCCCCGTGCGTGACTCTGATATGGATCTCACAATCTCCTTCCCTTCGGGGTCCAGTGTCTGGCTTTGATATCATTTGTAACAGCTCAAGCCCACCGCTAGCACGCACTGTCTTCTTTGGGCTTTCCCTCAAGGTTTCTAAAACACGTTTGCTAGGAAGAGATTTCCACACCCTTATGAAGAATGCTTCGTTCCCCTCTCTAATCACTGTGGGATCTCACAATCCACCCCTCCTTGGAGGCCCAGCATCCTTGCTGGCACACCGTCCGGTTTCTAGCTCTAATACCATTTGTAACAGCCTAAGCTTACCACTAGTAGATAGTGTCCTCTTTGAGTTTTTTCTTTCGAGCTTTTTTCGAGGTTTTTAACACGTGTCTGCTAGGGAGATGTTTCCACACCCTTATGAAAAATGTTTCGTTCCCCTCTCCAACCAATGTGGGATCTCACAATCCACTTCCCTTCAGGACCCAGCGTCCTCGTTGGCACACCGTCTTGTGTCTAGTTCGATACCATTTATAACAGTCCAAACCCACCTCTAACAAATACTGCTCTCTTTGGACTTTCTCTTTCGAGCTTCTCCTCAAGATTTATAAAACGTGTCTGCTAGGGAGAGGTTTTCACACTCTTGTTAAGAATGTTTCGTTTTACTCACTAACCGATGTGGGATCTCGCATATGAATGAATTTTAGATGCGAGATGCAATCTTTCCCTATATATGCCTAAACCTACCCCACACTTATAGGGCACCTACCCCTTCTCTTTTCCATGCATATCAACAATAGGATACCCTTTTTCCACTCCCAATTCCATTCCATTTCCATCATTTTCTCAAACCCTCTTTTCTCATCAAATATATTACACATATTTTTCTAATATTTCATGTGTGTTATATCTATATGAAACAAGTTAGGGTTTGGTATATATGCTATCAAAGAATCAAGTCCTATGAGTTTCTTGTTCATAAGTATTCAAGAACATGTAGCTGATCATCATATCCCTTCTTAATAGATCAAAAACTAGTTTTTAAAGCATAAATTAGAATGTTTTACACGACAAAGAACAAAAAACATGTCAAAAACTAGATACACACCTTTGGAAAGATCTCAAAACCTATAAACAACACCAAATTGGCTTCTTGTGAGGCAATTTATGAGAAGGAACACAAGAACTGGCTTCTTCCACAGCCATTTAGATACCCAAAAACTGCACAACACCAAGAACAAAGTGATATTCATGAGGATCATCAACAATATCACAAGAACAAGAAAACCAAAAAGATTGCTGTTTTTGTATAGAATTTATCAAAATTAATTTGTAGTTCATGAAAATAAGTAGTGTGTCAGACAAAGCATGCTGCTTGATCCTAGATTTTAATTGAGCAACGACATTATTTGTCTGTCATGCCTTAGCTGCTATGTTTTTTGGTCCAAACAATGTCTTAACGTCTTGTCCAAACCCTAAATTCTTGAGAATGTACTGATAAATCTTATTATTATATCACTTCTTTTAAGAACAAGAGCACAAAGGAAGGTGGGAGAACTCAAATTACATATAATTTAAGATTCTAAACACCAAAAAAAAAAAAACAAAAAAAAAACAAAAAACCTATGTATTAAAAGATCTACATGTCATGTCACGATAACACGAGATGTAAATTCAAAGTACTTTTACAATTTCTCTTTAGACATCTAACGACATGACCCACAAAGACGCTTCCAAGAACATTTTTATACAATCAAAGCAAGGGAAATATATAGAATAGGTTCATTTCTAAGAATTCTCATGCTAAAAAGCTTTAATTTATGTCAAAACAAAGAGTTTTATGAACAAAGAAATAAACAATCTGTTGGTGAGTGCAAGTAGGAAGTAGAATAATTTTATGAACAAGTCCAAAAACACGAGCTGCTAACTTAAGCATATAGTTCTACGAGTTAAGATATATATACTGTAACAATCTAAGCCCACCGCTAATAGATATTGTCATGTTTAAGCTTTCCCTTCTGGGTTTCCCCTTAAAGTTTTTAAAACACGTCTACTGAGCTGAGGTTTCCACACTCTTATAAAGAATGTTTAGTTCCCCCTCCAACTAATGTGGGATCTCACAATCCACCCCTTATGAGCCCAGCGTCCTCCCTGACACTCATTCCTCTCTCAAACCGATGTGGGATCTCATATATACTCTCGATCAAAAGGTCCGAGATTCAAATCCCCAAAAAATTGTATCGTTAAGCTTCTACCTAGCAATTCAAATTATAAGAACCCAAAATAATAGCAAAAAAAGTACTTCCCTTTAAGAGAATTCAAGACATAGGAGTAAAAAGCATAGCTATGAACATAAATGCTAACTACTTGGCACATAATAAATACTTAAAACCAAGCTTTCTTTCTGAAATGAGATTGGTATTTATGTGTTTTTGTGTTAAACACTGCCATAAATGACCTGAAAAAGATGTAATTTTTTGCTATTTCATCCTTCAACTATTGCTAATTTATTAGCATCAGTCCCTCCAAGATCATTGATCAACATTCAAATTCCATAAGGTTATGTTCAAAACAAGAGAAATAGAACAGAAAGAACAATTTTTACTAATGAAGTAAAGAATGTGACATAAAACAGTGAAATTCCACAGTTGCTACAATTGGTAATCATAACAAATCCACACACCAAAATCTACTGCTTAAAGTACATTGTGTCATCATTACCAGCCAAAATTGGAGAGTGAGCGTTCGAAAAAAGGGTTTTCGACCAAAAATTATTCGAAGAAACCGTCACTATATTATAAGACAGAAACGATAAACGTATCTCGAATTCGTATTCATTGAATGATTATCGAAAGATCGATCTTTAATGAATATAATATATGAAGCTATATGCCATAAAACCAACCTTTATAAGGCCATCTATCAAAACCTGCATGGGCTTAGCCGTTTGTCCAAATAATTAGAGACAGCAATCACACCTATAAGAACAATAAGAACATAATTTAATTTCACAATTTAACGTTAAAAAAGGAATGAACAACATATTGAATTTGAGATGTCTCACTGTTTGATTCTCTTCTTGTTTGGAGATGTGGATTCAGTTTGTCAAGTGCCAAAATCTAACGACTTCCCTTTCTCGAAGAAGTCCGTGATCGGTATGTTGGGATTGCTTGTTGGCATCGACATCGACATCGGCATTCCGTCATAAACACAGAATTGAGACGACAACGTTGTCGAAGTCGAGGTTGTTACTTTGTCGCCCTCGTCGTCATCGGAATCTTCAGATACTACACATTCCATATTGACACCAAAGAGCCTCAATGTCTTAGCTGCAGCAGCTTTCCCAATTCCATGACCGCCGTCGTCGACTCCCGGCAGTGCTGCCGGGGATCTCAATTGGAAAAAAACCGACGCCCCACCGTCACAACCACCGCCTCCGATCGGTTGATGATTATAGGTGGTATGAAATAGGCTGACATTATTATGAACACTATTATTCTGCTGCAAGTGGAAGGCGTGGTCCCTGTGTAAAGATAAGGGTGTGGCCACTGGATTCCACTGGCCGTGAAGCTGAAATTGGTGAGGAGGAAATTGTCCACCACCACCACCACCACCATAACCACCATAACCACCACCACCATGGTGATGAAAAGCTGTCTCCACCGGCGTGCGAGGAGGGCGGCTCCGCCAATCAATAAAAAACCGATCTTTACAAACCCCTCTTTGAAAGGAGACAATATCACCAGCATCAAGTCTTTTCTCTTTAACAAAGCGGCTCCAGCCTTTAGTCATCACATAGCTTTGGCTGCTGGTCCAGTAAGAGTAACGGAACCGCCATAGCTTACCACAGCGATCTTCAAAGCTTAAAAGAAGACCCTTTTCGTTTGATGAAGAATCCAAAGGGAAGAACTTTTCAGCATGTTGTTTAGGGATCACTAAACGATTCAATTTTCCCACATCGCTTGGCGTCACAACCTTGTCGAACATATGCTCTTTCTCTATATAAACACCAGAATTAGAAGACTCTTCCATTATTTCTTGGTGTTGATGGTGAAATCTTGAAGATGAACCAAAATCCATGAAAAAGGAGGAGAATTTTGAAGTGGGTTTTGTGTAGAAATCTCAAGAACACCAAAGAACACAAAACCCAGATGGAAAAATTGAAACTTTTTTGAAGATTAAGTGGAAAATGAAGAGAAAGAGGGTAAGGAATTGAATAAAAATGTCATTTTTTTTTTAATTTTTAAATTTAATCTCTTATTCTCTCTCTCGTTTTGGGGGTTTAGGAAGAGAGAGAAAGAGTTATGGTGATGAGAGGAGAAGAGGGTCCCCATGTATTGACCTGGTTGGGCTCATGTGAGGCTGTCTGTGTCAACATCCCTGTAGCCTGGGTTATATATATATACACACTAAGATTTTATTTATTTATTTATTTAGGGTTTAATTAATAATTACAACACCCAATTAGGGCAGGGAAGAAGGGGTGGAAGTGGCTCAAAAAAAAAATGACAGCTGTTTTAGAGAGACCATGAGGTTATTATTGGAATATACAATTACACAACAACCCCACATAAGGACCATTTTTTTTATTATTATTTTTTTTTTAGGTTGAATTATACGCGTCTGGTCCCGACTTTTCATGTTGTGTCTTATATGTTTTTGGATCGTAAAAAAATATTTTATTTATACGTCCTTGAACAATTAATAACTGTGTCAAATAGCCACGTCTTTGTTTCACTATCCAATCGATGTGGGATCTCACAAAAAATACTTGATACACCGTTTGATAAGTTTTTAAACTTTCAGTTTTTGCTTAAACTATCAATTTTTTTTTATGTTTTTCGCTCGAGTCTCGTGGCAATGAAGAAAGAAAGGACAACTACTACAAAATAGGTTAGTCTAAACTTAATGTACACCGAAAACCCAGTTCCAATATTGTAGGCACTAGTAGAACGCAGATAGAAATTTTGTTATTTGGTATCTGAACTTTCAAGTTTTTGAGTATGTTTCTAAATTTATTGTCTCTAAACTTAAAAATATCTAATGGGTCGTTGTTATATTAAAAAAATTTGAAATTTAATTGATCTATATATAAAATTTATATTTATATTTCGTGAAATTTGAACTCCATTTTGAATTTAAAAAAATATCAAATAGATTAATGAGTTAATAATTAATATATTCGATGATATTAAAAATTTGAAAATAATTTATTCCAACCCAATTATAAAATATATATATATATATGGTGGCAATTTTAGTTTAAAATTAAATTAAAGAACATTATCTACACAGGATTAGTTACTGAGATTAACAATAAATTAATTTTAATTAATGTCATAATCTGGTCGTGGATTATCTCTTATCCAATGCTTAGTTAATGTATATTAATTAAGCGACATTGTTTTTAGCATAACGACAGTGACTTTTCAGGCTGCACAACAATTAATTTTAATTAATTAAAAAGGGTTTCAGATTTAATTATATTTAATCCCTACTTGGTCTTGTTTTACAATATTTAATTTAATTAATTTTAGTTGCTTTTCTTTATTTTTAATAATAATATTGCATTCCATCTAAAATTAAATTTTCAATTTAATTAATTACATTATTATATTAGATTTAAATTATACAGCATCTCGGTTCTAATTTGAGAAGCCCTTTTAAAAGAGGCTATTCAAAAATTATAACGCTCACATGAACGTAGCTTAACCGTACTTGACATGTATCTTTTCCCTAAAGTTGAAAGTTCAAATTCTCGTACCCCATAATTAGCTGCATTAAAACTATGAAAATCATACCGACCAAGTTGAAATCAATGTCTTTAGGGTTTTGTTTGGTAAATTAAGTTAGGTTTCTGATATATAAAATGAACATACATATTAATATAAAATTATAACCTAAACTTTTTTTTTAATAAAATTGTATTAAAAACATGTGGGGACAAGGCAAGAACTTGGCCTTTAATTTTTTAATTAACCAAAGTTTCATTAATTAATATTTCATCAGACCATATTATAAAATAAATATATTATTTAGACAGACAGCCTAATTCCTATGTCTATGGTTTTTAGAACACCAATCGTCACTATAATTTCAATTTCATGACGTAAGTACCCTTTTTGCTAATTAAAAAAAAATAAAAAAATTAAAATTTTATTTATCTCGAGAATATTAAAATAAAGAACTAATCATAACCTAATCTTTTTAATGAAATTAGAAATTTAGGGTTTGAAGCTAATGTTTCGTATCAAATTCAAGGTTAGAAATGTCATTTATTAATTATGAAAAGAAAAAACAATCCTATTTGGTCGGTTATACGAATGTTACTTATCGACAATATCTATCGAGAGAATTAGAACAAGGGTGATTTCGTAAAAGTTAAATGACTAGAATAAGGCGGTTGGTAAACGAGCGTTCGAGAATCAATGAGATGCTGTTATCCACGATATTTTTGATGAGAAAGCACGTGAAAGAAAAGCATAATGAAATGGTCCAAAATGGTGAATACGATTAACGCGTGAGTAACATTAGGTATCGAAGGGAGAGTGGGGGGCCGGGCCGAGAAGAGAAGGAATATGACACATCGCTATGGGAGGTATTAATGGTAAGTGTGGTGGAAGGGAAAGAGAGAGTGCCTGAAAAAGGCCTTATAACATGGCATAGGCATAGAGTTTGAAGTTCGGATGGATCATAGGGCGTACGGGGGTGGCATAGAGTAAGGACCACAACAGGCAAAGGCCAAAGCCCAAAGCCCCGCACCGCACCGCTCCGCCCCCCGCTCGCGCACGCAGATGCACATGGCGTTAGGACCACGCCGCACACTCTACCACCACTTGGCGGCTCTTTTGTCCCTTTTCCTCTCTTTTTTTGATAGTGTGTTAATTAGGGCAATCAATGTTCAATAAAATCCATTAATTAATTAACGAGTAAACCATCCCTAACTTTAGTATAGACTTAAGCCACTTCAAACGACCATTTTTTTTCTTTTTTGAATTAGAAAGAACGGACCCCACTTAACTATTTGTATAGGATGAACAACACGAGAGGATAATATCTTCAGAAATTCATTAGATACAAATTTTAAATTTCAAAGGTCAAATTTGTAATTTAACATTGTGATAGGGTATGACGTGTTTTTAATGTTCATTCCCATGTGAAGACCTAGCCTAAAAAAGGTACGAAGTGGTCACCAATGCGTTAGAGCATAAGAACAGATATGAGAAAATTGAGAGTGTATAGAACAACTTAGTCAATGAAGCTTAAAATAATTGACAGAGACCGTCATTATTGACAAAGTGTATTTTTTATTTTATTAAATATAAAATTTTATTTTATTTAGGTTTTAATTTTTTTTGTTCAATGGATAATAAAAATTTTGACCCACATCTTATTTGACTTAAAAACGACAAAATCTTGGTCGAAGCCAAATAACATGAGAAAAACAGGGGATGCTTTCTTGTTGCTCTGTTCTTGTATAAAACCAGAGGCAAGGTACGGATTCAAAGCTCAGAAACTTGCTTGCTTAATTTGATCTTGTTTTCATCGTATACTCGAACCGAGGCAGCTCGTAGACGTTGTTCTAGTATCCCCTCAACGTTTTTAAAACGCGTATGTTAGAAAGAGGTTTTCATATTCTTATAAAAAATGTTTCATTTTCCTCCCCACCAATGTGAGATCTCACACAATTTATCCCCTTTTAAGGTCTGGCGTCTTTGCTGGCACACCGTCTCGTGTCCTGGGGGCTCAGCCTCCTTGCTAGCATATTGCCTGGTGTCTCACTACTAGCAGATATTATTCTTTTTGAGCTTCCTCTTTCGAGTTTTCTCTCAAAATTTTTAAAATGCTTCTATTAGGGAAAAGTTTTCTCACTCTTATAAACAAGCTTCATTTTCCTTCCCAACCGACGTGTGATCTCACATAAACTTTTGGGGCCAATGCCAACTCGGTAGTGACACCAATGGCCAACCAGGAGACAATTCAATACAACATAAAAATTGTCAATCGATCCCATTCGACAACTTTTTATTAGTTTCTAAACACTACTTTTACCTATAAGTTTCATAGTCACTCGCTACAGTACCAATTCCTAGCAACGGATCTCACACAAGCTTGGCAATTCATTCGACTATGAAGGAACAATTGTGAACCCAAATGCAGCTGCAAACCTCGGACTCATTTACGTTTGCTGAATGGGCCGCAAAAACTCAGCAATTTCTTTTTTAACCGAGCATAAAACAGACTCTAATACCATATTAGATAAGCACGAACTTTCATCCAAAATTCATTATTTTAAGTAACTCACAATTCAATTTAACCCCTCGAGTTTAGCTATATATATAATACTATACATGTTTTGAACATTGTGGATCCGTTTATTAAGCTTTCAAGAATCGTAAAAACTCGTAATACAAACCTCTGGAATCTTTAGTACTTATATAGCACAATATATATATATATATATATATATGTATGTATTATGATTACTTATGGTGCGCCAAAAAACTCATTCCTTTGAAAGCAATGAGCCACCGGACTCGCCATTTTCCTTGTCAACCTTCTTGCTTTTAGCCCTTCCTTTCTCAGCCTTATGGCCTTCTTCATGAAGATCAGTGATGTTCATGTGAACTCCAGGGTCATTGCCTGTGTAGCTACCTCCGAACATGATGGAGTTGTTGATGGCTTGGAAGTTGCTGTTAATGTAGGAGGTGAGGGGCTCGTTCTTGTCGACGCCTGCATCCTCGAGCTTCTTGGCTTTACCATTCAACTCGGCACGCATGGTGGCACCAGTGTTGGTTCCAGCTAGTGTTATTACACTTGAGCCGTGGTCGTCAACGACTTCATGGTGGTGAGCAGTACCTATTGATAACAAGAGCTCAAACTTAAACATAATTCAACTCATTTAGATTTAATAAACAAAAGATTTAATACGCTACCTCCTTTTCGGATCATGCCCAAGCGACTGGTGAGGGTGGAAGCCATTTCTTGGACCTTGGCGCCGAATTCTCGATGCTTCTCGTTGTCGTCGACGGAGGAGTGAGCGGGCTTTTCGTAAGATGGCGCCATTAGAGTGCAAGTGAAAGAGGGATGGGAAGGGGTTGAATGAGAATGGATGAGTTGAAGAAAGGGGATGGAAGAAAATGGGGTATAAAAGGAGGGGGAGGGGAATAAAGGGGTGCCTTGAATGCAAATACATTGAGGTTTATTGTAGCACCAGCAACAGGGAAAAGAGAGTAGAATTGCTTCACAAATGGGTTTGTGGTGCCTTTTGTGATTCTCAATGGTTCTTTAGGCCGAGTCTTTTCGTGACATTGTAGCGACCAAGCCCATAGTTAGTAGGTATTGCCTCGTGTCTACCCCACTTCGAGGCTCAGTCCATTCGTGTGACCCTCCAATCCACTCTCCTTTGGGGTTCATCGTTTTTGCGGGCACACCGCCTCGTGTCCATTCAATTTGGGGCTCAGCCCATTCGTGGAACCCTCCAATTCACTCTCTTTCGAGCTCTAGCGTTTTTGCTGGCACACCGCCTCGTGTCCACCGACTTTGGGGTTCAACACATTCGTGGGACCCTCCAATCCACTCATTTTCGAGATCCAGCATCTTTGTTGGCACACTGCCCGTGTCCACCCATTTCGGGGCTAAGCCATTCGTGGGACCCTCGAATCCACCTCCTTTCGTGGTCCAACATCTTTGTTGGTACACCGCCTCGTGTCCACCCACTTCGGGGCTTAGCCCATTCGTGGGACCCTCCAATCCACTCTCTTTTGGGGTCCAGCGTCTTTGATGGCATACAGCCTCGTGTCTACCCACTTCGGGGCTCAACCCATTTTGTAGGACCCTCCAATTCACTCCCTTTCGGGATCCAGCGTCTTTGATGGCACACCGCCTTGTGTCCATCTACTTTAGGGCTCAACCCATTCGTGGGACCCTCCAATCTACTCATTTTCGGGGTCCAGCATCTTTGTTGGCACACCGCCTCGTGTCCACCCCACTTTAGGACTTAGCCTCCTCATTGATACACTATCCAATGTCCAGGGCTCTAATACAATGTGTACAAGCCCAAATCCACCACTAACGGATATTATCCTGGGTTAGTCTTTTAGACTTTCCCTCAATGTTTTCAAAAAGCTTTACTAGGGAGAGATTTCCACACCCTTATAAACAATATTACATTCTCTTTCCCAATCAATGTAAGATCTCACATACAGATAGCATCATTTCAAATGATAAGTAGGTGTAAAGATCTAATTATATCAACCAATTTGAGTATAACAGACAAGACACACTTAAACAGATTACACACAAACAGAATTCACACATTTATTCATCACACAATAAGTAGTCACAGGCTACATAATTTCAGCATACAAGACAATCAAAAGAAATCAAAACGCACAGACAAAGGGCTTTTAACAAGATGAACACCATCGGTCCATGTTAAGCTTCCAAACGAGTACCCATAGTTCCTTTGAAGAGTACTCGAAAACTTAACCTTAAACGAAATCTTCTTCACATTGGAATTGAACACCAACACCCGGGGCTTCACTCTAACCTTGGACCCAGGTGGAGCCTTAATCACCGCCTTATAAACCGCCGTCAAGTTCCCCACATTCGTCACAGTTCGAGTCACAGTGGTCGAGTTTATCAGCGCCGGTACAGTAATGGTCGGCAAATTCAAATCCAAAATAGAGGCCCTTTTCGACGGACACACTGTTTTCTGCTGCGATAGGTGAGAAATGTCCGCCTCCGTATAACCCATGCTGCACAGGTAATAATATATGTAATCCGTGGCTCCCAGATCGTAGATCAGACCTGGGTCGACGGCGGCGTTGGCGTCCACCACTCCGCCGCCGTAGTCAAATGGGTCCGCCACTTTCGGTGGACTTCCTTCGGCAAAAATTGGCATTCCTGATGGGTCCTCTACACGAGCTACATTTATGAAAATGGAAGTGGATTAATAGCTTTCACGAATTTATAAAAATGTTTTTTTCTCTTTTAGATTCGAGGTTGGATCTCACAATTCACCTCTCTGAGACCGGCTCTATTCAATATTTTAAAATGTTTTGTCTCCTTCTATAACTGATGTAGGATCTCACAATCTATAGCCTATGAAACCCAGTATCCTCACTATTTCACTCAATATTTTAAAACTTATTTCTGCCTATGATACTATTTGTAACCGTCTAAGTTTAGGAGATATTATCGCTTCCCCTTTCGAGTTTCACTCAAGTTTTTAAAGCTAGAGATTGATGACCATACCTAATGGGCCAAAACAAACAATATCTACTCACAGTGGACTTTGACCATTACAAATGGTATCAGAGCGAGACACCTGGGGGCTCGAAGGAAAGTGGATTGTGAGATCCCACCTCTCCTTAGCGTACACGTGTTAAAATTTTGAGGGAAAGGAACAGAAAACTCAAAAAGTACAATATTGGTTAGCTTTATGCGTACCGGTGGTAATGAGGGCTGATTTAATGGCGGCCGGTGACCAAGTAGGATGTAAGGATTTAATAAGAGTGACGATACCAGAGATATGAGGCGTAGCCATGGAAGTCCCTGACATTGTTGCAAACCCTTTGTCACCGCCCTTGTGGTTGGGTGGAACGGCAGCTATAATGTTGGCTCCGGGAGCGGCTATGTCAGGCTGTTCATAAGAACACAATTCATTTGAACTTAAATATGTTCATATAATTCAATTAAAATAGGTATTAATAAATATGTACCTTGAGGATTCCGGGGGAAAAAGAATTTGGACCTCTGGATGAGAAATAAGCGATCCGAGATGATATGGGCTTGCCGATTATGGTTCGTGTGGCCCTCAACCTTATCAATGCATCGTCACTTTACAAAAATGACACAAGTTAGATAAAAAAAAAATAATAATACCCTAAAACATTAAATCAAATCAATACTAATAATGTAACCGTTTAAGTCCATTGTTAGTAGATATTGGCCGTTTTTTACTCCCCCCGAACACAGCTTACAACTTTTATCGTACTGTGCTCTCCAAAGAGCAACTCTTCTCAAAATCTCAAAAGGTACTGAGTTGGAATCCCATTCTAACTAAGGATTCTTGTGGTTCCGGAGAATCCAGCTACAGGAGAACCAGGAACGGAGAGCTTTCCCCCCTTTTCCGCCCGCCTCTTTGGTCTTAAGAATGCTGGTTTTAAGAATGAGTGATTGCCCTTCTCCGACCCTTACTGCCCAACCGGATAGCGGACAGCTAATGCGTTCCACTTATTGAACAGGGTTCTATGGTCGGTCCGCGACCCCTGGATTTCGTCGGCCTCACGATTTTGAAACGCGTATGTTAGGGAGAGGTTTCCACATTTTTTTAAAGAATAGGGTGTGAAACCTCTCCCTAAAAGGGTTAGCCCAAAAACGACAATATTGGCTAGGTATGGGTTTTCCCTTTCGAACTTCCTCAAAATGTGTCTATAAGGAAAAAGTTTTCACACCCTTGTCAAGGGTGTTTCGTTCTCCTCTCCAACCAATGTGGGTTCTCACAATCCATCCTTGTAGGCCGAGCGTACTCGCTGACTCTCATTCCTTTCTCTAATCGATATGTGACTGTCACCAAATCCACCCCCCTTCGAGGTCCAGCATCCTTACTGGCACACCGCCTCGTGTCTATCCTCCTTTGGGAAACAACAAGAAGGTTGACACATTAACTGGTGTATGGCTCTAATACCATTTGTAACAGTTCAGGAACAATTAGATTTTCTTTTTCGGGCTTCCCTTCAAAGGTTTCTACACCTGGTGTTTCGTTCTCCTTCCCAACCAATGTTGGTTCTCACAAAGAGGACTAGTGTCAGCAAAGATGCTAAGCCTCAAAGGGAGTAGATGATGAGAAAGAATACAAAAAAGACAATATCTACGCACAGTAGACTTAGACTTAGATTGTTACATTAAATTTTGAGTGTTGTGCGAGGAGATTAGGTTCGAGATAGTTACTCGTTGAGTAGGTAAGTGAATAATTTAGTGCCAACGTGGGTATCCACATGGATGCATGGAATATCACAAGGAACCAAGTTGTCGGTCTGTTGGCCAGCGTAAATTACTCCAACCACTTTTGCTTGCTTCCCCGGCATCACCGCGTTGGATGCAGGCGCCGTCTTAGCTAAATCAGTGAAGCAGAGAAGAACCACGTTCCCACTTATTGGGATATCACCTCCCAAAATCCCTGCACATCTGCCCTCCAAAATAATCAAAATCCCCACCAAAAATCTAACAAAATAACCAAAATTAAACCATAACAGGCTCGTAAAAACCTTCCATCCATAGCCACCAGCATCCCGACGATGTCCTTTCTCAAGAACATTTGTCCCTGTCACGTAACCCAATAAGTTCAAATCCAATAATTATACGTCCTAGTTGAAATATGAACTTAATTAATTGGTCCTAATAAAGAATGTGAGTGTCGTTACCAAATAAGTGGCGTTATCTCCAAGAGTAGTAATAGAAACAAGAAAGGCTCTATCGATGGTACTCGCAGCCACAGTAAAAAGCCACGGCGCGACGTTTTCCACCGTCTGTTGAATTGAGCCTTCATTGCCGCCCGCACACACAACAGAAATTCCCTTCGCAATGGCATGAAACGACCCAACAGCGACCGGGTTCACGTCATTGACATCCGGAAACAGAGGAATTGATTTGCCAATTGACATAGACAGCACATCCACACCGTCGTGAATGGCCTCATCTATGCCCTTCAATATGTCTGCCCCTGACCCTAAGCGGCTATCACTCCACAGGACTTTGTATATGGCCAACCGTGCCAATGGTGCGCCACCTCTCAACGTGCCGCGCCCATTGCCAAAGTAGCTGACGTTTCTTACAAATGCACCCCCGGCTGTGCTGGCTGTGTGGGTTCCATGTCCTTCGTTGTCTCGTGCAGATAAGTAATCCTTGAATACCGCCTCCTCCCCATGGTCGGCTATTAAGGCACTGGCGAACCAACGCGCTCCGATGACCTTTTTGTTGCAATGTGAGGAATTGAAGTCTTCCCCTGATTGGCAAATGCCTTTCCATCGTGATGGTATTGGCCCCATTCCTTTGTCATTGAATGACTCCGATTCCGGCCAGAATCCTGAGAGTGAGTTCCAAACCCACAAGAGCTTAAGCTTATGGAGATAACGATTCTTACAAGAAAGAAGAAGAATTTTATTATGGGATGGGCCTAAATATATACCTGTATCAATGACACCTATGATGACATTGTCACCCATTTTCGCTCGATGAAAAAGGTTCGAGGATTCAGATGGGGAAGACGAGAGGCCGAGAAAATCCCAACTTCTTGTTGTACGCATTTTGTATAGCGAACTTGGAAAAACTCGAGCCACTATTGGCATTCCTATTCGTCCGTTCACAATTTAGTTAACAAAATTATAGTTAGTTAAATTACAAGTTTAGTTCGTTCAACTTCTGGGTTTGTGTCGCATTTGTAAGCTAATAAACTTAAACTCGACTTAATACAAAAAGTTACCATGGACAACTTTAATAGAATTGTTCGATAGTAATTAACAGAAGAATGGGTAATATAGTAATGAACAGTAGAATTGGTCGTAGTAATTGACAAATTATGACCCACTTCAGTGTTTTAAGAAGAAAGTTTAAAAATGGTAGAAAGATAATTAGTAATTTATATGAGAAGAGAATTGAGAAGCTAGGTGTTTATATATATATATATATATATATATATATATATATATATA